GGGAAGCCATTTATCAAGCTGCACTCCCACTGGTAGCCACACACCATTACTGGGCCATTACTGTTTCTTTGCCTGGGGGCCTGCTTTAATATTAAAACTTCAATCAAAACTTGCTAGCACTGACCTTCGGATTTTGGGCATGGACTTGTAAATAAATTTGAGGGCCGTACCCCGGGAATACTTTGCATGCCACTGCCATTTACCTAATACAAATGATTGACAGTTATGTTCAGGTATATGAAATATTTTGTTCTCAAAGGCAGTCACACCCTCCTTTCTGTCACAAACTCGCACTGCGTACCATTTTCATTTTATATATGTGAGTTTTCTCCACACCCGAGCTCTTTTATACACGTTGAATTGAAACCAGTATCAGCAGAAGTTTTCAATACTTCTTTGTAACGCATGTGCCTTTCCACATGTCTTGTCTGACAGCACAGTGCCTCTACTGCACTGAAATCCCATGCAATATCAGCCGTGCCTGATTTTCCCTGCTGCCCAAAGGTTTTTAAACCTTTTTTTTTCAGGATTGTATTGCTGTCTGTGTTTCCATGAAATCCGTTTCCCATGACTTCCTCTCCAGTCAATAAGTGTCAAACAGAACAGGAAAAAAAGGAAAATCTCTGTGGGGACACGGATAGCCTTTAAAATAGGACAGACATTCTAAGCTTTCCTCACTATCCAAAGCTAAAAGAGGCTGGAAATGGGGCTTTTTCCTTTTTAATACCGGAGCAATAAGTTGAAAGCCTGAGGGTTCTGTTGATTTTTAAAAGGTATAATCATTAAACTATATTGTTAAAATGAGCAGTGTTGGGAAGATTTTGCAGGGATCTCAAGTCTCCCTGATGTTCAGGGAGTCTCCCTCTTTTGGACAGCAGATCCCTGATGTCCACGAGAGAGGCATTTTCTCCCTGAAAGGTTTACTCTGAGTAAACCTTTCCGGTAAGATATCAGTGGGTAAAGTTTCAGAGTGAGGCTTGCCTCCTGGAAGGTCATGTGATGTCTAGAGTAGCCTCAGAATGAGGCTTGCCTCCTGGAGGAAGGTTATGTGATCTCTAGACTGGCCTCAGAACGAGGCTTGCCTCCTGGAGAAAGGTCATGTGATCTCTAGAGTAGCCTCAGAACGAGGCTTGGCTCTCGGAAGGAAGAAGCTGCGTGCTGCACAGAGAGGGCGGACATGGACTACTATTGAGAGCAGGTACAGGCACTGAGATCTACTGCTGCAGGGTTGAGAGTGCTGTTAACCCTTTGTGGATAATTGATATGTAACATGTGCGGCACAATAGGCGCAATCGTCGTTTTCGCACGTAGGCGCACCCGACGCATATCTACATGTGTATGTGGGGGGGCGGGGACTTAAAAAAATGTTTTTCTTAATTTTTTTTTTTTGCTTTATTTTTATACAAAAACAGAAAGGGAACCTCCCTGAAATAAGGTTTTGCAGGTTGGGATGTCTGATTTTGCATTTTACAATAAGTAACATAAACTTGGAAAATGTATGGTGAAGTGTATTCAAGCCATTGGGAAACCAGTAACCAGGATTATATTCCAAGTGGACTTTTACCCTCTTTCACTAAAAATCACATTAGCATTCAGCACTGTATGCTGATCTGAAATCATCATCATCATCTTACATTTTATTTTACTTACAATAATTGTTTTTCCACTTCCTGGTTCTCTTTGGCAATGTGCCCAAGTTTTACATCCTGGGGCAGCTATATCAGTCTTACTTTGTGGAGAAAATACAGGCTTAGAAAGAAAAGTAAAGCATATTCAAACCCAAAAACAAAAATGTAATATATTGCAGCTCACCAATCCCTAAATAAGTTGGCTGTATTACTTTAGGCTTTTTTTTTTTTTTAAATGGCAATCCAGCAGGTAACACTTCATAGAGTGGAGCCACCCTAAAACAGGGAGGGGCAACCGAGCCACCCATGGACAGCAACATTGTCATCCTGTGAAGAGGGTAGTGATGGACTTGTAGATTTTTAGGTGGTCTTGACTAACAAATTTAAATCTGAACTCCAACTAACACTTCAAAGCGGTTACAGCAGTGTGTATGTGTGGCTTTGCCCCCCTTTTTGGAATAAAGGTTTTACATAAATGAATAAAAGCTAACCATTGTAAGCCCCCCCAGTGTTAAATGGTTTGTCTCATCCCTCTATATTTGCCAATTTTGCTAGGACAGTTTGGTCTGTAAAAGGAAGCTGGAAAATAACACTCACCAGTTGAAAATAAAGGATGAAAAGCCTACAAAATATATTCTAATGCTAATACCACATTTAAGCATTTTAAAAGAGAACTATGTGGTAAGTGTTTTTCCCCATAGTTCTCAAGGGTCACGGGAGGACATATACTGACCTCCTCATGTGACCCAAAGCTCAGGATACCATGAGCTACAGCTCGCGGTATACTGAGACAGCTGCAGCCAGGACGGATCCCGACAATGCTGTGGAGATCCACCCAGCTGCGTGAGTGACAGCTGGCTCTGCCTATCTAGAGGAAGAGCCAGCTGTGCCCGCCCACTCCCATGTCCGTACCCCAACTGAGTGCTGGAGGATCGGAGCGGGGGGAATCTCTGCGGGGATCGATGACCGACAGCCACTTCTCTCTGCAAGGAGATGATCGAGAAGCGAGCGGTATGCGTTCACTCCCTGATCTATTAACCCGACGTGACCATTTCATTGTCCCACGTCGGCTCAAACTGAGGAGTGATTTTCACTCACCTCATAGTTCTCCTTTTTAATAAGCTGCAATATATGAATTTTGTGCTTTTTAAATTTAGATATGCTTTAAGAGGGTTTAACTGCATTTGTAGTGTAAATGATCCATCTCTAATAATATTAAAACAAATAATGTGAGACATCTTGGCTTCTATAGTGATTGGCTCTAACTAGATAAGCGTATGGGTGTTCTTGTGTGATTCACCTTTTGGTCTGTCTGGTGTGTAGTAGGTGCTGATTAGCAGCCCCACAATAAACAAGTCATTTTAGAGGGTTACCTGATGCCTGTCGGCTCTTCTCTGTGGTGCTGCCTGATCAAGTATCATTCCTTTTGTTACAGACGCCAGAAAAAAAAATAATGAAATAAATTTGATACTGTAGGCCATTTCACTCTGACCTGCAGCCACAGAAATTAGGATTTAACTCCATCATTTATTCAGTGTGGATGCCCATGGCTGCATTCAGAGACTGGGCTCACTAGGTAACTTTCCACTGTTGTGGGATGTCAAGGCGTTCAGGTTTGAATATCAGAGCAGAGACCAGGGGTGTGAATGTAGCCAAGTGATGGAAACTCAGGAACCAGCGGAAATTGAGAAACCATGAGAAATTACAATCTACTCTGGTTATACTGCATGTGATTGTGTAACCTGTCACCTAGGTTAAAGCATATCTAAACCCAAAAACAAAAATGTGATATATTGCAGCTTAAGCAGACTTAAATGTTGTGGCTACATTAGTTTTCATTTTATTCCTCTATTTTCACCTGGTGATGCAGCCAGTAACACACTTCCTGTCTTAAGCAGGCCATACACCTTACAACTATCTGCAGATTTTCTGTGGTCAGATGGAAAAGGTGCAACAGATTCCTCCATTTACAACTGTGTGGATGGAGTAATCTCCACCTGGGCCAATCTATTACACATTTTCCATCTGACCACAGAAAATCTGCAGATAATTGTAAGGTGCATGGGCACCTTTTAAGGAAGGCTCAACTCCATGGAGGAGCAATGGAGCCACTCTTGGACCATTGTCGCCCTTTGGAGAGGGTAGTGTTGGGCAAGCTAGAAGATTTCGATGGACTTGACTAAAAAAAATTAAAGCTGAACTCCAGATAACACTTTTTAACCAGTTACAGCAGCAGTCGTTTTTTACTTTTGGGATAAAGGGTTAATATAAATAAAAGCTGACCATTGTAAGCACCCCTGTCAGTGTAAATTGATTGATTTATTTCAACCCTCTATGGACCACTTTTGTTTTGGTCTTGTTAAAGGAAGTTGAAAAAAGACACTTACTGGCCAGATCACCAGATAAATTTATAAAGGAGAGAAATGACTAAACAAAGAAAACCAATGCAGCTGCAGCCACCACCTCCCAGGATTTCTTTTTCTTTTTTGGGTTTAGATGCGCTTTAAGCTGTATGTGTCCTTGCTGAGCTCTAGCTTATTACCCGTTAGTTTTGGATAATTGATTACAGTTCTTGTAATGTACAAGAATATATGCTTGGTACTTTTGAGACCAAACAGGGAAAATCTGGATATTCAGAGTCTGGTGTAGGAATACTAATGGATCACTTTTTTTTTTTTTTTCATTTTTTGTAAATGTGTTAACAAGCCCCTAGTGTGACATTTGGAGGTGACATCAGGGGTCTACTGCTGATTTCTGATCAGACTCCTGATTTTGTTACCTCCAACACAGCCGGAATGTGCTTCACCTTCTGCTTACCTGCCACTTCCGCTGGCTTCCGACAGTTGAAGCAGGAAGTTTTTTCATAATTCAGTGATCAGAGCAGATCGGGGAACAGACATTCCACGGTCTGCTCCCGCTCTCCATCCTGACACTGTGTCCCGGGCCACCCAAGGAGTGAAGGACCTCAAAAACCGCAGCGGAGGGGGGGTCTTCTGGCTGTAAGTGGATGCTCCGGCCTCGGAGGCTGGTGTATCTAACGTTGGCCAGCCATTACCCAACGCAGCACCCCCCACCCACCTCCGCTTCAGTCATTGGCTGATAGGACCACTGGCTTCCTGGCAACCAATGATGGCAGGCAGGCGGGGCCAGCTCTTGAACCGCGGTTTGCCATTTAATGACCACTGTTAGAGTGCTTCCTGTTCCGGTTACTCTTTTCTTGGTTCATTCATCTGGAGTAGGTACCTATGCTGGGATATGACTTGAGACCAGCATCTCGCTATTGTTGACAGTGTGGCAATAGTTATTTTCTAAAACAAACGACAACCTGTTGGCAAAATTTCAGAAATAATATTTTTCTTTTGTGTTTTTCAGACTGCCTTGGATCTGCTATCTTTTCTCCAATCAAAGCTGATATTACAGGAAATATCACGGTAATGAGTGAGATATATAGCCCTCTACTCACCACTACATTTACTTTTATTATTCATTAGTCAGTAACTCTCATTTGACCTCTTCCAGCTCATGTAATTCACATCTGCTGCTTAGAACTTTTATTATTTAGCTTCAACAAACTATATGTATCCTTTTTATAAAAAAAAAAAAAATTCAATGTTTACCAAGTGCCTCTTGAAGTACACTGAGATGTATACATTCAGTACCATAATTGTATGTGTTTTTTTAAAAATGCCTACATACAATTGGAATATTGTATACATATAATTTATTTTTATTTTTTTTTGTCAAAAAAAGCTAGACTAGTATTTTTCATATACTTTACACGAGTCCTTAGCGAAAGGACAAAAAGTTTAATTGCAATGTCCTTTAGCCCTCGTTCACACCTGAACGTTTTGTAGCGCGTTCTACGCTCGACGAACGCCCTACAAAACGCTCAAAAATCTAAATCCCATTGTATTCAATGGTCTGGTTCCCACCTTGGCGTATTTCCGCCCGTCCCTAACGCGCTACAAAACGGCCCACGCCTGAAAAGGTACATGTACTACTTTGGGCCGTTTTTGTTGCGCGTGTCCATTGGGATACAGCCAAGTAGCCCTCGGAAACGCGCGTTTGGCGCGAATCGCGGTAAAAAAACCATGCGATAGCCGCGCATATGCAATACGCCTAGGTGTGAACCAGGCCTTAATGAAAGGGACTGTTGTCCGGCAGCACTTTGATCCCCCTCTTCCACCTGGAGTCCTGAAGCAAAGAGAGTGGTGGTTCCATGTTTGCTTTACCTTCTTTGAGTTCTTTTTTCTTTTACCTTTTTTCCTCCCCCCTTATATTCCTGAAGTTCCTTTTTTACATTTCACCTTAATTTCCCTTTCCACCTTCCCCAGCAAATGCATGCAAGCAGGTTGGCTTAGGAGTTTCCATGGCCATTTTTAAACTGTAACCACATAGCATGACAGTTTGTCATGATATCCGAGCATGTGAAACTAGATTACAGGTATCATTCAAAGATGCATTTTCGAGCTGTAAAGTGAAATAAACTTTTTTTTCTTTTTTTTTTATGCTAGAAAATACGGACTGTATATGAAACGAATCCTACCAAGTTCAAAACACTACAGCAGATTTTGGAAGGAGAAAAAGAAATGCATGGGCCACAATGGCCGAAGGTTGGGGCAACTCTAGGTCTTATGTGGCTGAAGAGGTGAGATAATTGGATATCGGCTGTCTGTACTGATTTACTTATTTAGGACCTCCTTTTAAGCACAGTATTATTCAAGAAAACATAATTTTTCTAGGCATATCTTTACTGAACCATTGGTTAAAATCATTAAAAAGAAAACAACCTCTGGAATAGTGACCAACTGAAGTTAGGTGTTCTAGTCAGGTGTGGGTTTGACCTTCTCTTCTATATTGAAGTAACAAGAGACAAAGTGGGGTTTTGAGAGCACCAAAGGAAACAACTCCACGAAACAATGAATCATATAAAAGTTAATTTTTAATTGAAATAAGGACATTTTAAGATGCTGGATCAAAGAAAAAAAAATATTACAAAAGGAGACCGGTTGGATTTATAGATTACGGGCTACCAAGCCACTTGGGTTGAATGAAACTTTGAGTTTCAAACCCTTCCTGGGCTAGAAACCTTCCCTCTATTTTTGACGTCACTGCGCCGGATACCGATATAGCGCCCATGTAAGCCACCGACATCAATATGCGGCCGGGTTTTGACGGCGCTAGATGTGTGTGGCGTGGAGGCATCGGGAGGATCGACTTCTCAGACGGGTAGGACCATATCCTCCTTTGCTGTGTCGCCCTCTCTGTCCTACTTCTTTGGCAGGCAAACCGTTCGCTCTGACTACTCCATCTCTTTCATGTAAGTTTTACTGGCCGCTGTATCTCTTCCCATTCCCATATTAATTGTATTCTGGCCAGTGACTATGCCTCCTTGCTCATTCTCCCTAGACTCTTTATTGCTGGTCCTATCCCTCCGGCTCAATACTGGGATTTGGCTCACACATTACCCATCCCGCTATTAGGGGGAGTGCGCAGGTGCCCTGCTTGGTAGGTGAAAATCTCACCTTTTATGTATTATTATCATTTCATAGACAATCATGAATGCACAGATTACGCTTATTGTGTCCCTTGTTTTAAAATATATAGATACTCTCCTGTTCCTGAAGAAGCGCATGTGTGCGCGAAAACGTCGAACTAACTAGTTCCTCCATTTTTCGTTCCATCATTGTACAACATCTTTCCAGCATCACCATTTTTTGCAATTTATGTTTGTGATTATTTGTTGTTCATCCTTTTGATTATTGCTACTCATGTACATTGCCCATCAATTTTCAAGTGCCACAGAATCATGTTGTTTGGAAGGTTTATCTATGGAGTGAACCCACAGGGAGCTAAATTACTCTTCTGATTATTTTTTTTAAATATTGGATCTTTGATCCAGCATCTTAAAATGTCCTTATTTCAATTAAAAATTAACTTTTTTTTATATGATTCATTGTTTCGTGGAGTTGTTTCCTTTGGTGCTCTCAAAACCCAATTTTCTGTCTCTTGTTACTACAAATTCCAGGGGTGTGGCACCTACTATTCGGATCTAGGTTCAAATCGATTCTACCTCTTCTATATTGAAGAAAAATGTTTCATTGCTGGGTTTTTATGTTAGAATTCAGTTGAAGTGTAGTGTGGAATGCCATTAAAGTTCATGTAAAGGCAGGCGTCCCAATACTTTTGGCAATATAGTGTGTGTATGTATACACACACACACACACACATAGAGAAAATGTGTGTGTAAACACACACACACACACACACACACACACACACACACACACACACACACACACACATAATTACAGACCTAATGATTTCAGGACAGTGGTGGAGTGCCAGAGTCCTGTCACAGTTGCAACCCTGGTAATTCTTGTGAAGATGCCAAGTATTGTCACTAGTATCTGAACATCCCTAGTTCTATATTAGTTATATATAACAATAACTATATCCAGCCTCATCTATGTGCCGTATTATGTAAGGGATGCCCTTAGCTGGAATCTCGCCTCATTATAACGTATACAGTAAACATTAGGTACTTCTAGTGAACCCCTAACCTGGGGTAACCATTCACCCACCCCTTTTTATCCTCATTTTCTCTTTGAAGCATACAAGGTGAAAAGACAGCTTTTACAGGGCATACCAATTTAATGGCAGTGTTAATGAGCAGAAAGGTTGTGTAATTTATGGTCCGTAATTAAAAGAATAAATTGGCAATCTGTGCCTGGTACTGGCTAAATGCAATTAACTACTTAACCTGTGTAAATTGGATATGTCCGTAATTAAGAGGATGAAGTCTCAACCCTAGTGAGCAAAATTATGAATATTTTCATTGGGTTCCACATGGAATCCAAGGCTGGCTGCAGATGAGCACATGCTGCATAGACCACAACATGTATTGATAGGCCTAATTAACTGTGGAGAGATTGATCAGACCCTTATGTACCAGTTTTAGTCCGAGCCCCATGTACCAAGCATAGCTTGCTCCAGATTGTATGTTACCCTAGACACAATTGAATAGTCATGGCTTTTTCTACATGCTCTGCCCCTTTTTGTATTAGGCAATTATTTTAGTAAAAACCAATTTTCGAATGTGCTATCTGAGGCAGTATGCTGTTTTGTGGACCATGTGTTTCCCCTTCTGTACAATTTTCAGTGGGAATGCCAAAGCAGCTTGTAGCAGATTGATTCAGCTTATGAGGTCAAAAACACCTGTCGATGAACTGTAAATGATCTTAGAAGATCATAAACTGATCCCTAATTGAGACTGAACTTACTGGATACACATTGCATTTGCCCACTGACGCAAGCCCTTAATATATATTTTGAGTCTTCTGACTCCTCAACCAATAAAATGTTAATACTTTTGTATGTGCCATGTATAAGAACTCTTACATTTGAATTTAAACAAAACCTTCCTGTACATTGTTTCTGTTCTTTCTTGTGTCACAGAGGTCTGAAGTTTATTCAGGTTTTATTACAAAGCATCTCTGATGGGGAGAGAGATGAGCAAAACCCAAATCTCATGAAAGTTAACGTGACCAAAGCCTATGAGATTGCACTTAAGAAATACCATGGCTGGTTGGTGCAAAAACTATTCCAGGTAAGCGTTTTTAGGATAAATGATTAAAGTGGTTTAGCAAGAATGTACACCAGGGGTGCCCATTAGGTAGAGCGTGGTCTACCAGTAGATCTCAACGCTGATGCTGGTAGATCATGAAGGGTGTGAATGGTGGCTTCTTTATTCCATGTTGGTATATTTATTTAGCTGGGCACACATGATTACCTATTAGCCTGAGCCTGCTGAGCCAAGCTCCCTGACACCTTTTTGGTGGATACTGGTGGTTGAAGTGCTATGTATTATATCAAAGAATATTAGTTTACACAGCCTGTTGCACTGCACTGTTTTCAAAATACAGCAAGGTGAGCCAGGAGAGACAGCCAAGAGAGTGAAGAGAGACAGCCGGGAGAGAAAACGAGGAATGACAGCCAGGAGGATGAGCCGAGAGAGAGAGCGAGGGAGGTTTTTTTTTTCGTTGGTAGATCTCATGTAGCTTGTCATTTGAAAAGTAGATCTTAACACAAAAAATTGTGAGAACCCCTGGTGTACGCTATCATCATAGTCCCTGTCAGTATAGTTTCTGCTGTCTTATTTGTAGGTACCTTACATATTTTGTGCATGGTCATTATCAATCTATATACAGACATATCTTTTTTTTTTTTCTATGCAAAATTTTATTTTTTATTTTTTTACACTGAAAGTGATAACATCTCTATTGTTCTGCCCTTCAGACTGCACTCCTTGCTGCTCCATATAAAGATGACTTCCTCAAAGCCCTCTCAAAAGGACAGAATGTAAAAGAAGAAGAATGTATAGAGAAGATCCGTCAGTTCCTGGTCAATTACACCCCCACAGTTGATGCAATCTATATCATGTACAACAAGATGGGTGCAGAGTTGGATTACAAAGCCTAGCTGGCTTGTGTAAAGACGCCTACCCTCTTCTTACTTTCAGATACAGCTCAGGACATGGCCTCTTCTCTGTGAATGTCTCCTGCAAACGTTCACTAGATGCTTGGAAGCTCCAAAACCAAAGTTAACTAATGAGAATATTTTTAACAAAGTGTATACAGGGAGTTGGTGCACTATTTCCGTATGTAAAATAGCCTTTACTATAACAGGTACACAGGTGACTGCAGACATACCTATCCTCCTAACGCATTCATCCTTTAGTCTGAAGGTCATTTTAGAACACTAACTCATTACGCCAGAATTTAGAAATATACTTGGAGCGCTATCTTAAACAGCAAATACCCATTTGAGTTTTTAATGCAGCTCAAACATTTTAAATGAAATTTCTAAGGTAAAAAGAAGAAAAAAAGAAAGCATGGTAAAGCCCAATTGAACTTTCAGTTTAAATCAACTAAAAACAATCCTGGTACATCAAAACTAAGGGCTTGTTGACACCATCTGTGTTCAGACTATGATGGCCTTCTTTTTTTTTTTTTTCTCTCCCAGTGCAGCCGCAATGTAAGACAGGGCAATTTGCTTTGTCATGGGTGGTGACAGTTTACATCACTGTGTTGCAGTGGTATGCATTAAAAAAGTAAAGCATGCAGTACTTTTAAGTGCACCGAAGTGAGATGCGGCACAACCGCATCGCACCACGGTGAGCCCATAGAACTTAATGAAATGTCACAAGTGACATTTCAATAAGGTTCGAACAAAAAAGAAACTGTGCAATGTGGCCTGATCAAGCACATTAGCATTGTCCAGGCACATGCACACAAGCAGTCATGTGGTTGAGCGTGGCTGCTGGTGTGAACAAGCCCTAAATATGTGCAAATTGGTGAAAAAAATTTTTTGACCCCCCTGCCAGCATGTTGTAGAGAAGGACACTTGCTGTCTGTGTGGAGGCAGTAGTCTTTATGCAGAGGTCCAACCGCCACCCCCCTTCCCACTGAGTGAGAACCAGAACTCTTCAAAAGGTACGGAGCATGAGCTATGCTGATTGGAGAGTTCTCACTGTGCCTCAGCAAGAG